CAGAGAGAGAGAGAGCGAGAGCAGGAGCACAAGCAGGGGGAGTGCGAGAGGGAGAAGCAGGCTTCCCACGGAGCAGGGAGCCCGATGCGGAGCTCCATCCTAGGACCCTGGGATCATGACCTGAGCCGAAGGCAGACACTTAACAACTGAGCCACCCAGGCACCCCTATTTTTTAATAATTAATTAGTATTTCTTGTGTGTTCTCATGACTTTGTTTCTGCTGATGCTAAGAGCTATAGTATGGATCAGAAGGCCTAGGATTTAGTTCCCGCTCTACCAGCTACCTATAATTTATTGTGAGAATGAATGGGATGGATTTTGATGTTTATAGCTATGCTTTCATCTAAAAAAGTGAATTTTATTACTGAACTAAGTATTCAGTATCTAATTGTTACCAATGAATTTTAGTGTGTGGTAAAAAATATGTAAAAATATACCCTTTATGGGGGCAGAGACCAATGATATTTCTGAAGAATGCTCTGAAGCACTTATAATTAAGTTAATACCTATTAATCATATACATAATCATGACTACATCTTGCTTTCCTAAAATTTCTTATTTTTTTAGATAGTAAAATAAAACTGGAGCTGTCAGATGGATAAACATATTTATCAGAAGGCTAGAGAGATGAAATGTAGGCTATATAAAGCAGAAGGAAGAAGTAAAAATAAAAACAAGCTGAGGGACATCTCTGCTTAAACATCTCTGACGTAAGGTCAAAATAATTTGCTGGATAGAGTTCTCCTCGAATGAAGCTGGTCTAAGTGGCATCCCTATGCCTTTACTGTTTTTTTTATAAGGAATTTTTAAACATTTAATTTAATTTTTTTAAAAAGATTTTATTTATTTCAGACAGAGAGAGAGAGAGACCATTAGCAGGGAGAGGGGCAGAAAGAGAAGCAGGCTCTTGGCTAAGGACGGAGCCCAATGCGGGGCTCGATCCCAGGACCCTGGGATCATGACCTGAGCCAAAGGCAGATGCTTAACCAACTGAGCCACCCAGGTGCCCCTAAACATTTAATTTTATAATCTCCCTTAAGAAGTACAATATTTGCAGAGAGCAGAGTTGAGGCTTTGGCCACAGACATGTAGTATTTGTGGCTAGATCTGCAGGGATCAGGGCCGGTGTATTTATTGAATCAGAAACTGGCAGAAATGTAGTTTTCAGTCATTCATTATTTTGAGAATCCAGTTGATTATCTCTACTTCTAGTGCGATGGGATGCAATATCCTTAGCTTATTTAGTGGAGTTGGGCTGTAATTTTCTAAAATTATTTTTTGCCTCAGCAGAAGTTGTCATTGTATGCTGCTCAGTTTTGTGTATAATCACATGTTGTCCCACAGAGTTTGTGTCTCTGTACATTTACATTTCAGAGCTTTGTTCTGGTAGAAACTTGCTACCTGGATTTATCTGTAAATCCTTCTCAGTGCTTCAGTTTCTCACTTGTAGAGTGGGTGTGAAAATAGTACTTCAGAAGGTTTCTGTGAGGATCAGGTAGAGTATGACATGCAAAGTATTTACAACACTGCCTGGTGCTTAATAAATATTAGTGTTGCTTTCTCTTTTTATTCTTCTCCCTGTTAATACCAGTGTTATTTGTTTTGGTTTGGTTTTGGTTTCCTGGGCACTTCTAGACACAAATGAATGAATTGTCTATCATTGCATTGTCTGGCTCCGCTAATTGTAAGCAGGACTTTGGCATAAGCTCTTAGCAAAGACTGCTAGATATTACCACATTCTTCAAATAATAGCAGGAGTTTCTTGCTACTGGAAAAAGATATCCAAATAAGCAGACGGCATATGTCCCCAGCTTTAATATACATATATGTGCTTTTAAAATGTAAAGGGAGAGGGCAGTGGCACAAGTGTATTTATTAATAAATGTTGCCAATATGTAGAACTAATCACAGCTTAAAATACTAAAATTGAATTTCCTATCTATCCTACATGTTTTTGCCTATCTCCCTAAGGTCAGAAGTACTCTTCTTTTCGTACTTTATCTCTTATTTTTTAATAATTAATTAGTATTTCTTGTATGTTCTCATGACTTTGTTTCTGCTGATGCTAAGAGCTATAGTGTGGATCAGAAGGCCTGGGATTTAGTTCCTGCTCTACCATTTGCTATCTGTTTCACCTTAAGTTGCTTAAGCTTTCCTTATCTGTAACTGTTCTCAAAAACTTGTATGAGAATAATGTATTTGAAAGTGTTTTGTGAACTGTGAAATGCTAATGAAATGTCAGGTTAGTACTGTTATTATTTTTTTTTCTTTTTAGAGAGAGAGAGAGAGGCAGAGGGAGAAGCAGGCTCCCCGCTGAGCAGGGAGCCCGATGGCGGGACTCAATCCCAGGATCCTGGGATCATGACCTGAGCCAAAGGCAGACGCTTAACCATCTGAGCCACCCAGGCGCCCTAGTAGTGTTATTATTGATGATAATATTAAGCATTAAGAAAGTGACAGAAATCCTCTAAAGCTTTGGCTTCTAACACTGGTGGATGGTGGAGGAGACTTGGGGCAAAGTCAGGAGGACTAGACACAAGTGGGAATCAGGGCTTTATTAATTCTACAGAAGACATGATTGCAGGAGATGATTGCATGTCTTGGATTCTTGAAAAATGAAGTGTTGGGATTGTTGTGATGGTTCCATGAGATAATAATTGCAAAGTACACAGTGTAATGCCTAACATCCAGGAGACAGTAGGAGTTAGCATTAGGTCTGCCATTTAATAGCTGCATGACTTTCTGCCACTTCTCCAGACCGTTTCCTCATTTTAAAAGCAGCATAATAATTGCCATCTGACAGGATTTTTGGGAAGACTATGTAAATTATAGCCCTTAGCACGACATTTGGTATATACTATGTTTATTAAATGGTAGCCGCTATTATCATAATTCTTCTTAGTAGTGGTTAGCTAACGGAAGCGACAGCAGCATTGCCATTGTGTGTGGCACTGGGCTGGCACTGGAGAATACCGCATGTGAGTGTGGAGAGATGAATCTGAAGAGGTAAGCGTAGCCTTCCTAGCAGGGTATAGCAAGCATAATTAGAGTTTGAATTTTTATCTCGAAGACAATAGCAAGCCATTGAAGGATGTTTTTGTTTTAATCCCGGGAGCGTATAATTGGATTTGTGCTTTGGAGAGTGAACTGAGGAAAGAGCAAGAAACAGGAGACCTGTTAGAAAGCCAGTGCAACATTACATGAAGGAAATGACGTTTGTCTGAAGTAAGGTTAGTGACAGTGGAGACAGAGAGAAGTCAACAGATGTGAGAGAGGTGTAGGGGCTCCACACTCAGCAGGGAGTCTGCTTGAGGATTCTCGCTCCCTCTCCCCTGCGTCCTCTCTCTCTCCCTCCAAAATAAATAAATAAATCTTTTTTAAAAACTACAAGCTCCTGGAAGGTAGAGATCATCTTATTCCTTTTTATATCCCCTTCTCTTCAGTGTAGTGTAGCTCTTGCAGTAGATCTGGAAAATTTCTTTTTCTTTCTTTCTTTTTTTTGAATGAAAGGTATAGAAACAGGGTTTCCAAATGTTACGGGTAAGGTCGTCACTTGACTGAGAGGAAGAACAGATTTTAAGGAAGGGTTCAGACATGCAGGGGAGAAAGTTGGAGACTTTAGTCAGTCACCATGTTTAATAGGTGACTCTAGAAAGAGAACATTCCAATTAACGTGGAGAAGAGGTAAATAATAGACTTTGTGACATCTTTTCCTCAGTATGAAGATCAGACTGGTCCAACTAAAGAATAGTCAAATTCATTATGTTTTGGGAAATTCATTATGGACAGGGGAAAGTCCAGAGATTTTCTGTGCAATAAACCTTCACCAATGGCCATGTATTCTTAGTTACCACACTCTAAGAAAACACACCTCAGTCAACCCCTAGCTTGCTTCACAAAGACGAGTTCTCATGGTCTATGAATAACATAAGGATTCTTTTCAGAAGACTACACCCAGCAAGTAGGAAACCAAGGATTCCACATTCCAAAAATTAGCAGAATCTTATCACAGCTGAATGTGGCCCAAGGATAGGGAGGAATCGAGGAATAAACCTACCCACAATAAAAGAAGAAAATAAGTTAGCCAAGAAAAGCAAACTTTGGGTTTAGCTCTTCAAGTCCTTAGGGAAAAAGATAAAAGTACTTCTGCTTAAAAACTTAAGGAGTTTTCATATCTGAAAGACTTTGCCCCGAATTTAGTGTATATACATATTGTATACCCAAACACATTTACTTCAAGAAAGACTTTCCTCCAATTTTCCTCTATCTTTAGAACACCATTATTCATTAGTATTTGTTTCATTTCCAGTGCACTCCCAAATGTGGTCCAGGATTCAAGCATCGGATTGTTCTGTGCAAGAGCAGTGACCTCTCTAAAACATTCCCAGCTACACAGTGTCCAGAAGAGAGCAAACCCCCTGTCCGTATCCGCTGCAGTTTGGGTCGCTGCCCTCCTCCTCGCTGGGTGACTGGAGACTGGGGCCAGGTAAGGCAGTTGGACTGGGGGGCTCCTGCTGAAGCAGCACCTTGAGATCCTTGAGTTTCCTGACCGGGTCATTATGAGGGCTCAAGAGATGAGTAATACTGCTGAGAAATCTAGGTATGAGATACAAGTATAAAAAAAGGCACATGCAGGAGCCGCCACACATAGACTAAGTAGCTGTGTCTCTCCCACCCCCACACACTTTCGACTTCTACCTACTCCTTGGATCTTAACATTTTAACATAGAATGGAGAAAGAAGTAGTCTATATGGCCAGATATTTGAGCAAGCCAACAAAACTTTGGATTCTGGTCCCATCTCCCAACTACTTCAAGAACGAATCAGTTAATACCAGTGTCTTAACTTTCCCACTTGCAAAGTAGCTCCTCTTAACTTCACAGAAAAGGTATGGGGATTAGGTTGATAACCTGATTGACAGTATTTGCAATACTATTAAGATTTATTCTTCAGTGGGTTTATCTGAGGGACATCATGAATTGGGAAGCCAGTATATAGGGCTTTTCATATGTATTTTTATTAGACTCATTTTATGTTCTAACTTACATTTTTTCTTTCTTTAGTCTCACTTACTTTTAAATTGTGTTATATTGCAGAAGGCCACCTTAAATCCTTTTAAAACAAATTGGTATATTTGAATACAAGGAAAATTGAGTATTATTCCTTTGAATGTCAAAAAGGAAATCTATTAGGTTACATTAAAAAATAATGCTCCAGAAAGTAAATTTCTAGACATTTATTGCCCTTTTCCTGTGGTCTTATAATTAACCTTGTAGCTAGTTGTTTCCTAAAATCTGAGACCCAAATCATGGCACATAGCTATACCGGTATGATTTTGTGTGTGCTCTGGACTGGACCTGCCATTACTTCTTAAAAATGGCATTGCATAGAAGTAGTTAGTAAAATTCTGGCCAAACTTCAGTATTTCTAGAGTATAGCAGTATCTGCAGACCTCTTTCATTACATTTAGGCAACGGCAAAAGATTTTCAGTCCCCATTAAGGCAAATAAATATACTTGCTCTGTGCTCAGTCAGCCTTGTGGGTAAACAAAAAAAAGTATGATCATAAAATAGTTAACATTTGCATTTGTATAACAAATAATTAATAATTTGCATTTGTATAGCAGTATTTAATTTATAAAATACTTAAGTGGAATACACATGATAAGGTTAAGCATTATAAGCAATTATGTGTGTCTCTGTGGAAGTGTAACTCTTTCATAATATGGAATTGATATGCTATTAAAGAATCAGTACAGACATGCTCTCCTAATTTTTATTTAAACCAGGTAGACGTTTCCTTCCTTACATATTCTTTGTTGCAATGCACTATTATATAAAGGTCAGTTGAAAGTTTTTGCATTTTAGTGATTTTCCCAAATTTACAGTAATCAATTTCAGATTATTCTTTTAAATATTGTCAAGTCCTTTTCTTCTCATCTATATTTTAAGTTCAGTTTCCTAAAATTAAAATTAACTGGTAAAAATACATTGTCAAGGATGCTTTAATACATTTTTATGGTCCATTTGTTTGTCATTTTGTATTTAAACATTTTTTTAATGAATGAGTCTATGAATATCCTTGCAAGTCCTATAAGTGCTTTGAGAGTTTTTTCAAATAAATTCAATGGGGCCTCAGTTTGTTTACCTTGTAAACATCACCATCACCTGTCTTGGCACTGGCTAGCTCATCTCCTTGATCCCAAGTCTCACAGCTTTGCTGGTATTCTGGGTGGCAGGCCCAAAGGGTAGACCCCGCTTCATTCTTCAGCCTGGACAGCTGATTAGTCCCAGCTGAAACTAAGTCACTCTGAGAGTAACTTCAATTCTGAAGTAACTGAATTACTAAGTAGATGAAAAAGGAGAGAGAGACATGCTACTTGGTTCACATTTGTGTGACTGACAATACCTGAGAAAACTCAAGGTACTTATTTAAGCTCTTTTTTTTTTTTAACTGGTCCCTGTCACCATCCTGCACAGCAGTCACTGCTCTTACACTGAACTCACATTTTGATCAGATTCACAGCGCTCCAGTAGACCATCAGATTGCTTGCCCATAAGCCTATAATAAATAGGGAGCGCAAGGGATGTCCAGCATTAGAATCTCTAATTATTACCCTACTTCATCATGAGGGTTTTCTTACTATACTCCTGTGACAGTTCACCTGCTTGGAACTGTTAGAAAAATAGCCCAAGAAATCTCTTGTTTCCTGGGAATGATATTGCTTCCATTTTCTAGGGTCATCACATGATCTAATAATTTCTAAACCAATTCTAGAGGAGAATGACTTAATCATACACCTCTCAAGGATGAACTTCACATGGGCTTTAAAAGCTGATATATATATATGGTATTTGAAAAGATAGAGTATCTTTTTGCCTCCTGAAAATCATTGAGATCAGTATTTTGTTTCTGTCTGTGTCTTTGGGTTTAGTGTTCTGCTCAGTGTGGCCTTGGCCAGCAGATGAGGACTGTGCAGTGTCTCTCCTACACTGGACAGGCATCTGGTGACTGTCCAGAAACTGTTCGACCCCCATCGATGCAGCAGTGTGAAAGCAAATGTGACAGTACCCCCATTTCCAATACTGAAGGTGAGTTTCCCGTGGAGAAAGGGCCTGTGGCCCCTAGTGACCCACGTGTACTGGTTCCCAGGGTTTGAAGAGCCCCATAAAGCCACCGTTGTAATGTGGTTTGTATAGAGCTTTTGTGAAAGCTGCATGTTTACTGGATGTGATAAGGAAACCTGCATTCCCCCCCCCCCCCAACTCTGACACTAACTACATGACCTTGATAAGTCACTTAACCTTTCTGGAGCTAAGTTTGCTTATCTATACAATGAGAGATTGGAGTGGGTGACCTCTAAGGTCACATCCAACCTAGCATTCTGTTTGACTTGTGCCAAAATAGAGCGATGATTTCTAATGAACCACAGTTTGAAGTGAAAACTTCTGTTTCTTTTTGGATAGAACAATGGATCTCTACCATCATGAAGATTAAAATTCATACTTGTTATACATATAATGAAAGCATATGTTTGAAACTATTTGTGTTTCAAATGCTAATTTTCTCATTGTAGAAAAGAAGAAAAAGATAATTACGTAGCTGTTTATAGAGGAAGACAAAGGTCTTTGGGCTCTGAAATTTCTCTTATGTATTGGGCAATCTGTTTATTAATAGCAGATGCCAGCCGAAATCCTGAATTTTCTTATATCTTATTTCAATAAATATATCTTGCCTATTCAGTTAGGCATTCATTTAAAATTTCCCGAATGCTACTATATAAGAAACACTGTAACAAAATCATGGGAAGTATAAAGACAAAAATGGCATAGTCAGGAAATTCAAACTGCCGTGTCATATGAAAATAGAGCCATGCTCAAATACAGCACAAGAACATCTTGACGCTACTAACTTAAATTATGTAGGAAACTCAGTTATAGGGCTCTGCTTAAAACAAAAGTAGAGAACTATCCTGAACATAATTTGTTAATATTTTTCAAATGAAAATTATGTGCTCATGAACCTATTAAGAAGAGATCTATTCCTTTTGACCAAATGTATCCGGTTTAAAGGATTTTTAAAAAAATTACAGTCACTATTTTAAAATGTTTCCTTAAGAATTTTATTTTAGGAGGAGCAATCATCTTGTATGACAGGATGCAGAGAACTTGCGTCTTTGCAAATGTACTGGTTTTTATATCTGAGCCTCAACACAATATCCTTACTGTATAATTTACTCTTTCAGATAAATACAGCCTTAACCTACACCAATTCAAAATCACGATTTTAATTTGCAAAATCTCTGGCTCTGATGTCATCTACTTTTTTGTCCCTTTGATAAGGGACATTCTAGAAATTTAGCTTTTCTTCTCTTAAGAAAGACTCAAAATCCATGACAAACCAAAGTATTTTTCTTAGCAAAACAATCTCTTTTCAATGATCTAAATAAAAATATCTCTCTTGTATAAGACCAGCAAACAACTTTATCTATTATAAATTATTAGCAAATAATCACACGGGTCTGGAGGTCCATTTTTCTTTCTGAGGTGGAAGATAAAAGGTTGAGGTGGAAAAGAGGATATAACTGTCATATTAAATTACTGTGTGTTGGATATTATGGTAGGCCCTTTATATTTATTACCCGCCTTATATATCTCATAGACATTAATATCTGTGTACGTGTGTGTGCGTGCATGCACATGCATATTATAATTATGACAAGAACCTTCCAAGAGTTGGTATCACTGATGAGGAAACTGAGGCACAGAGAACGATAGTAACTTGCCCAAATTATAAGGCTAGGAAGTAGTGACTTAGGATTTGAACCCAGATTTGGCAGAGCCCAAGGACATGTCAGTTTCAACTACATTTTTTTGCTATTCTTAATTCATTCTTTAAGTAGGGTATTTTAACATGAAAACAGAGCTTCTGATTATAAAGTAGCAACACTTCTAGCATGACCGTCGTCCTGAGTCAAAAGATTCGGGCTCAGTCATTGCTGAAACAACTGGCTTTTTAACATACCCGCAGCAATATATATGTTGAAATTCTGTTTATAGCTTCATTTTAGGTGTTTTAGTAATTCCCCCAAAAGCTTTTCTATGTTGGCTAATTATTATACATAAGCTTCACAGTTGGAGATGCAAATTTTTCAGGGTGGGCAAAATATCATTTGCAACTGGACTTACTTCTGCCTTAAAGAAATTCTCTTAAGATGGATAGGTGTTAATCTGAGGTTTTTTGAATTATTTGGAGAAATACCTCATGGTCATTTAATCTGCCTGGCCAAATCACTTTTTGTTAATATTAATTTGAAATAAGCAGTTAACACGGTATTTTTAGCCTTCTTAGTAAAGGAGGAAACTTTTAGGAAATTATTAATTCATGCAAAATATGACTAATCTTAGAACTATTATTCCCTAAAGCTGCTGACTCATTGAAAAGAAAGAGGATCGCTCTTAGAAAATTAGATTTGAAGTGGGTATGTCTGTCATAACTTGTTTTGTGTTCTCTTTGGCTTCCCAGTAGCATATATTGAATACATTTAAATACCTGAAACTATCTATTCATTTCATCAGCAGCTAATTATTGAATGCTTGTTGTGGCCAGCTTTGGCCATTCATTATGGAAAATTCAAGTGCATTTATAAGTTCATAGTCTTACAGGGAAGATACTTAAGAAAAAAAAAAGGAAGGTAGAAGGTGTTATGTGGAGCAGTTGACATAGTGCTATGAGAGTTGAAATGGAAGACCAATGACTTTAACCTTTTAGATCAAGACAAGCTTCATAGACTAAAGTGGTCTGTGAACCAGCTGTAATATGTAGTTGGAAAAATAACCAAGTGTATGCCCTGGGAAAAGAGGATGAAATGGTTGAATTAAATCATAAGTTGTCATTCATAAAGATATGAAATGGGCAGATAACATGGATTTCAAAAGAGAAGAGGTTCTTGCATGAAATTAATATGAGTAATCTTATATGACTTCTGGGGGTCGCCTGGGTGGCTCAGTCAGTTGAGCATGTGCCCTCGGTTCAGTCATGATCTTGGGGTTCTGGGATCGAGCCCCTCATTGGGCTCCCTGCTTGTCCCTCTCCCTCTGCCTTTCCTTCCTGCTCATGCTCTCTCTCTCTCTCTCTCTCTCTACTCAGTTCTCTGGCTTCATAAGCCGTTCCCATGATACCAGGACACACCCTTGCAGATGACAATGTTCAAGGCCAAATAAAAGATTTTTTTTTTTTAAAAAAAGATTTTATTTATTTATTTGACAGAGAGAGACACAGCGAGAGAGGGAACACAAGCAGGGAGAGTGGGAGAGAGAGAAGCGGGCTTCCCGCGGAGCAGGGAGCCCGATGCGGGGCTCAATCCCAGGACCCTGCGATCATGACCTGAGCTGAAGTCAGACACTTAACGACTGAGCCACCCAGGCACCCATAAATAAAATCTTTTATAAATAAATAAATAAATAAATAATACAACTTCTGAAAATCAGACCAGGGAGAGAAGAAATGCCTGTTACTAAGGGAGAGTTGGGAGACAAATCTGGTACTGGGGGAAGGAGTAGGCTCTGGTTACTGCAGGAGAGTAGAAGACCCCTTTCTTCCCAGCAGAATCAGGTTCTCTTGACTGTTAGTGGGAGGCTAAGTAACTAGCTCAGCTCTACCCGGAGACAGAGTAGGACTAAGGGAGATCCCTTAGGATCTAAAATACATGGATGGGGTCTCTGTGGGTGAAATGGATAGAATCCTGAGAATTGTTTTAATAGCCACAGTTTAGGAATTGGTTCCCATTCTAACATTTTCTCATGAAAATAATAAAAAGTTTCAAACATAACAGCACAGTTGAAGAAATTGTACAATGAACACCCACCATCTGGATTCCAGCATTAATATTTTCCTGAGCTTGATTTATCACATGTATATCTATCTGTCCATCCCTTAAGGTAATGGTTTTTAAATAATGTGCTCCATTCACCCAACCATTATTATTTACTTAGTAAATGTTACTGACTATGTGCCAAGCACGGAGACTATGAAAGGAATATGACAAGGTCCTTGTCCTCAGAGGGAGCACAGTTTAGTGGGAGTGGCAGCAAATAACTTTCACAATATGGGCAGTACTCTAACAGAGTAGAAAGAAGTCACCATGAGTACACAGAGGAGGAGGTAATCAGCAGAAGCATCATGGAGAAGGCAAGCTTAAGTGGGGCACTGGAAGGTATGAAACAATTTGCCAAGAAGACATGGAAATGCTGGGCATTCCTGGCAGAGGACGAGTATGTGCAGTCATGGGGGCATGGAGGTAGCTCAGTATGGGAGCAGTGGGTTGGCAGATGAGCAGGCAGTGGAGATGTGGCTACAAAGAGAGATGCAGGGACTTGGTTTTGGAGGTTCCTGCATGCAGTGGAAGACAGGACTCTATAAGTTCTGGAGAACAAGTGAAGGAAATTGGGGAGTGACATGCTTGGGATGGCAGGCATGTGAAGGGGCAGGGAGAGGTCAACCTTGTGTGGATGAAGAGTCCAGGCTTGAGATGATGAAGGCTTGAACTAATGCAGATATAGTAGAAATCAGAAGGAGAGTAATGAATTAGAAAAAAGAATAAAATGGAAAGGAGAATAAAAAGAACCTGATGAACAATCATACATGGGGATGAGAGATTTGGAGGTGTCCAGGATGACTCCCATTTAGATTTTGGTTACTGGGTAGTATAAGTCATGATAAGGAATTTAGGAATCTATAAGGGAGTTAAGCACATTCATCCCCAAAAGCCATAATAAAATAATGGAATTTGAGTAAGATTTTTCAAAATAAAAATGAAATAAACAATGGAAAGAGATTGAAGAAATGGAGGGGGGTTAAAACAACAAGAATAATAAAAGAATGAAACTAAGAAGTGGAGCATCAAGATATTAAAAATAAATAGTAAGAGAGAAATAGGAAAAGTAAGAAGGGAGATACAATTTGCCATATTCAACATTGGCTTTAGTTTTTTTTTTTTTCATTGGCTTTAGTTTTTAATTCTTGAAAGCCTTCAGTGAAGAGTTAAAGCATTATAGACTTGATTTTGACAGACCGCCATCATGAAGGTAAC